CCTAGTTCTAGCGGTTGCTGATTTTGGCTTTCTGAGCACTGAAGGATTTGGTGTCAGGAAGCTGGGGTGCTGACTATGGTTAGGTTCCCAGACCCCTAAGGTACATGTGGAGGAGGCCCAAAAGCTGATCTGAAGAGACCAGAAAGTTCCTCAGACCGAGGAAGATCAGGGCCTCATGAAGAAGTTAAGGTGCTTTTGGTTCAGTGGGCTCTGGACAGTAAAGCAAGAAATGAAAGGAAAGGATGGGAAGGGGTGGGAGAGAAGGGGAGAAAGAGGGAGAGGGAGAGAGAGAGAGGGAGGAGAAACTTTAGTCATCGGGAAGTACGTAATGACTAGACCATTTTCTACCCCTCTTTTCCCTGAACACCGGGGAATATGTCTTTTCCTTCAAACTTGTCCATGCCACTGGACTGCCCCTACCCTACCGTTTTCTGGTAGCACAATCTTTGAGGTTTCAGCAGCTCCTTCTCTCGGTGTCTACCTTCGTGAGGCAAGTCAATTGGTCTTGAAATTAGAACCTTGAAATACAGAACAGACACCGGAAACTTTGTTTGCTTTTTTTTTTCCTTCCTGGAGAATAACAAATATTTGGAACAGAGTCCCAGGCCCAACTGTCAGCAGCACGGAAGCAATTAGATGCTGCCCTAGGGGGGAAAAATAAAAAGAACTCACTGGATGGAATGGCCTCTGCGGACCCCCAGACCTTCTCTTGTTCCCCAAGTTTCTCACACTCAGATGAGTAATGAGTGAGTTTCAGACCACTGTACACCAGGGCACAGCTCTTTCTGCTTTTCGTGTTATTCGTTTGTTGCTTCCATAGGGTAGAGTAATCCTCCGAAGTCTAGCCTGGCATATTAACTGGCTACTCCGGGTGGAAAGGGAATATTAGGCTCTGACGCAGCCAGTAAGGCTCTTGTCCACTGCTTGCTTATGACACATGTGTCCAAGGCTGATAGGAAGTGGTGGGATGACTGTGGTGCCATCTACTTCAAAAGTACAGCTGGACACAGCCACCAGCAGATGTGTGTCGTAAAGCTCTCTGTTTCCCGCCTGGTACAGAATGGACTCTGCTGGGGTGTTCCTCCCAAGTGAGCTTGGGGGGACACACAGGTGACTATGATTTAACAACCTTAGAGCAAAGAGGCCAGTTTCCTGGGATGCCAGGTCCCAGGTAAAGCTGACTCCGTAATGGGATAACAGAATCAGGTAGGATAGAAACACAGCCTGTCTTCCATGCACACAAGCTGCTTAACTCCATGGCCAGGGATGGTCATCCCTGACATCCAACAGTCTCTTTACCAGATGGCACACATTGGTATGGTCTGTCCTCTTGACTTCAGAATGGCAGGGCATGATGTTTTCCATTGCTCCACAGAAAATGAAAAGTAGTGACCACATTGGTCGATTGCCCCATGAACTGGTTTCCCCCTCTAGTTTTTATGCCATTATGTAAACAGAGATGTACTTTCTGTCATGCAGGAAGTTGATTTTGCCACTGTCTTATCCAAATACATTTAATTATTAAAGGTTTCTTGGCTGGTGCCATTGGCTGAGGTCTAGGAATGAGCAATCCAGCTAGCACCAGATTCCATCCATTTGAAGCCTAGTGTCTCAGGAGTTTTTATCCTATTTTGTGAAAGGATTACCCTCTTCGAGGTTGGAGTTTGACTGTTTTGCAGAAGGCGACTATTCCAAAGGGTTTTTACGATTTACAGAATGCCAACCCTGGAGACATGGATGCCTGAGAGGTCATCTGTGCTGGCTGTGTGTAGCATAGAAGAACAAAGATTGGAATGGTTGAGTGACTTGCCCAGTGTCATAGAAGACATCTGCTCTTGAGATGATAAAGGAAACCAGGCTTTCTAAAGTTTTGGTTTTGTGAAAGGCTGGCCTAATTAGATGGAGCCAGACCAGACAGAGGGCCCCACATGGGGGCCAGAGGGCTCTGCTTGGACCTGGAAATTAAGTACAGCTGAAGACTAGAGTCTCTTGTGTTCTCTACAGAAGGACAAGCAAGGATTGTTCTGAAAGGAACCAGAAACCTACAGACAGAAGAAAAGCTGTGCTAGGAATTTGAAATCATCCGAATCTCGTGAAGTGGGCCAGTCACAGACTAGAAGATCCATTTCCACTCCCTTGTGTGGACTGATTCTAGCTTCCGGTGGCCTGAGTGCAGGATGATGTCACAGTCTCTGACAATGACCTGCTGTGTGCCTCTCATGAGAATGGCTTTGGTCCCAAGGGTCATCATAAATGCACGGGCAGGAAAGGTGGCTGCCCAGACCTGAGGCTTTTAATTTGAGTTGAGGAGGCTTTTTGATTTTCAACAACTTGACAGTACCATGTTCAGGAGGGAGAGAAGCATCCTTTTCATATTCTTTCCAGTTCTGTTGTTGAAGCCGTGATATTGCTGGAAATTCTTTGCTCTGGAGGAAGAACAAATAGGTGACCTGATGACCTTTTCCATTCCTCAATCTCGGAATCAGTTCCCTGCTATATTGCCTTAATATGTGGAAGAGGCACTGGGGAATCTGGTGAGTCTCTTTATGCTTTTTCTCCTCCAAGTTACATTTCATCTCTAAATAAAAATTTAGGATTCCCTTTAAGGTCTTAACTTTGGTTCTCATGACAAGCAGATTCTCTTTTCCATGCAGTGCCACCTGATGGAGGACAGAACTAATATTAAATGGGAGTTTCCTCTGCAGTCATTTGAGGGGACTCTGTAGATGTTAATGACCCACATTCTATCAAGCAGGAGGGCAAGAAGGAGATTTCAGACTTCCATGGGGCAAAAGTGAGCCTGAGAGGTGATATTTTATGTTTACATTTATTTGTTTGTTTTATCCTTACAGTAGACATAGGTGTTTGGATCAGAGCAGACTGTCCATTTGTGTATGGAGCAAGGTGGCACCAGTTCACTGTGCTCATTCCCCTTAGGGTAACACAAGGCTGGTACAAGTTGCCTGTAGATGGCAGGAGAAAGAGTGAGGAACCCTGAGACTGAGAGCCTAGTGCTCCCCTCCTGAGAGTGGGAGGAAGGAAAGAAAAGCTCCCTGGGGTATGTTCTCCTTGGAAAATGGACAGGAGGCTCCAGGTTTACCATTCACTCATCCTGTAGCCCAGATCACTCAGAAAAGCCCAAGCACATGGATATGTGAAGGTGTTTGCATTGTTTCCTACAGTAGGAAGCTCATCCTAGGCCTCAAGATGGAGCATGGGCTGACAGGCAGGTAGAGCTCCAGAAGAAGAATTAGGGTCATCAGAAGGAATGAGATGAGTGGATTGGGTACTTGAGGAAGAGTTTTCTCTCTCTGCTTGCTGGGGACAGGAATGGAGTTGGCCTGTTGGGTAGCACTGCTCAAATCAGCAGGTAGAGAGAAAATAAGTTACCTGGTAGCTGTTACACTAATGGCAGAGGTAGCAGGGTAGAGTCGGTGGAAAGGTTGAATGATTACCAGTGAAGGAGTAGGGAGAGGAAGTGGGATTATTACTCTAGCCCCATGCTAAGCGTGGCATTCTACTGTGCTCTTCTAACTACACTGCACCCATCCTCCTTGCAGAGGAGAACAATGAACCCTACATTCCTGAACTATCTCCAGGAAATATCAGGAAAGAGGGCTGGGCAGCTGATATCCCGACTGACCCTGCATTCTGGGACTGTTACTCTACCCCAGGCTGGGTCAGAGCAAGCCCTGTCACACAACCTGTGTGACCTTGGGAAGTCACTTACTCTCTCCGAGCCTTGGTCTCCACATTGGTGGGAATGTAAATTAGCAAGTCATTATAGAAAACATTGTGGAGGTACCTCTAAAACTAAAAACAGAACTACAGAAGACCCCACAGTCTTACGACAGGCATATGTTCAAAGGCGCTGAATTCAATATATTGGAGAGACACCTGCACACCCATGTCATTACTGCAGTGTGCATGACAGGCCAGACAGGGAATCAGCTGTTCAGGGACTCAAGGTTCAGGTGAGTGAACAGGGAACACATGACACATGCACCATGGAATATAAAGGACAACTTCCTGTCATTTGCAACAACAGCATGAAGATCATAATGTTAAAGGAAGAGCCAGGCACAGAAGGATAAATGCCTCATAAGTACCACACGATCTCACTCATGCATGGAACTAAGAATGCTGAGCTCATGGACAAAGAGCAGAATAGTGATTACAAGAGGCCAGAGAGGGTAAGGGAGAGAGACGATGGAAAAGGGCCCATTTGTGGGCACAAAGTCACTGCTGGTGGAGGAAATGTTTACCCATCCTGTTATGAGGAAGGGTGATTATAGCTAACAGTATTTGTATCATAGAATTCAGTCGAGCTGGAAGAAGAAAGGATTTTGAGTGCTGTCACCACCAAGAAATGGTAAATATTTGAGAAGATAAATGACCTCAAAATCCTGAGCTGATCATTACAAAATGTATAAATGTTCCAAAATATCACACTGCATCCCTTGAAGATTTAGAGTTGTTATCTATCAATAATAAATAATGTGGTAAGAAAATCATAAATTGGTCTGCTTTTTATTAGGCTGTTTAAAAATTAGGCAATGCATGTGTACATATTTAATAAAGTAATATGCTGCACAAATTTTAGTTGTTTTTTTATTTATCAAATCCAGTACAATATTGTTATGGTTTTAACATTTTGGAAGTCAAGTTGTTTCTAATCTTTTGCCCTTATATTTAATGCTCTAATGAGCATCTTACTTCATATTACCTTTTTTTCTTCCTCCCACATAAGTATTTTCACATATGTGGACAAACTGATACTCAGAGTAAGTGATTATCTGAGATCTCACAGAGGGTTGAGTTTCCCATATTAATTAAAACTATGCCCTGACCTCAGGATGAGGATGAAGCATTGTTCTGCATAAGAGTGAAGCTTTTGGGAGGCTCCCAGAAAAATCCCTCTGTGAGCTGGTAGCCTCACTTCAACTCTTGCTCTTAAACTCTAAATGGATAACATCCATTGTATTTCAGAAGTGGGTGGGTGTTTTAGCATCACTTTGGAATTTGGGAGGAGAGCAATTCCTTGGGGAAGTCCTTTTGAACCAATGGAATGGGGGTGCTGATCTTTTTCTTGCAGTCCTAATGTCCTTGGCTGTGAAGGAAAAATTAATTCATTGGCCAGGCAATTGAACAGACTGATGGGAAAGCCCCCAGGGAGGTGGGTGTGGGATATACGAAGTGCTTTTCATAAATTAAACAGAGGGAGAATATTTCATCACATGGTAGTTTTCTGTTAAGCCCACTACATAATTTGTTTCAGCTCACTATTTTGGGCACACAGTTGACTCTTCCTCCCCATCTCTAGAGGATGGAAAAATATTACAATGTCCAGAAATCATGTGAACTCTCTTCAGAGTCATCCCTAAAGCATAGCAAAAAAAAAAAAAACACCCCAAAAAACAAAAAACAAAAAATAGCATGAGTGGTTCTCTTTGCTGACTTTAAAAGACTGTGAAACCCTAGGAGTTTCCCAAATGTTTAACTTGTCGGACATTGCTTAACTTGGGCTGACATTAGGAGCCCAAGACAGTACTGCAAAGGCTTCTTTCATTATTTGTGGAGGTAGATTTTTCAGAAGAATGGCAATTTCAGAGTGCCTGATAGCATACAGTGTTAGCTTTCTGCCACTGTGACAAAATACCTGGCAAGATCAACTTAGAAGGACAAAAGATGGCCTATGGCTTCAGTGGTTCAGTCCGTGGTCACTGGACTGTATTACCTTTGGTCCTGTGAAAAAGACTGAAATACATCACAGCGGGAACATGTGGCTAAGTATATTGCTTCCCTCATAGTGGGCCAAAATCAAGACAGACAGGAAGCCAGGGTTCTAATAGCTCCTTCAAGGCCATGATCCCAAGGACATCACTTTCTATAGCTGAGCTCCACTCCTACAGGTTCCACCATCTCCCAGTAGAACCATTCCAGAGACCAAGCCTTTAACACACAGCCTTTGAGGGACATTTAGATACAAAGTATAACATGTATGCACTTTCCACATGTAAAAACTCATACAGTACAACTGGATTTCTAAAACAGGTATACAAACTACCTATGTATTTCAGGCTTTTTATGTTTTAAACTCTCTACTTAATTATTATGTCATATATTACTGTTTCATACTGCAACTAATTAATAAATGAGGATGCTCTCTGTCAATCTATTTCTAATGGTATCAAGTATTTGACAGGTGATTGCAGTACATTGGTGGTGATGGTAAGGTGATCTGCATTGCCCGTTCACTTCCTCTGCTCTTTCCAACTTGGGGCTTTGGAAGGCTCCTCCATGCCCTTTTCCTACTAACCAAGGAGGTCGTTGTCCAGTAGGATCCTCTTAAGGACCTTTTCCTGATCATCGTACCTAAACTTGACCTGGAGTGTCCTAGTTACTGTCTATCCCATTGCCTTGCTTTATTTTCTTTCTCATATTGGCCAGTATGTGATCTTATTTTATGTGTTCATTTGCATGATTATTGCCGGTGTCTTCCAACAGAATTTAAGCTCCATAAAGGCAGGTCACTTGTTTGTTTTACCCACTACTGTACCTACAGTGTCTGGAGTACACTGAGTTGCTGCTCAATAAATACTTGTGCAATAAATGAATAAGAAAGGAAAACAGAGAAGATGATGAAGAGAGGCTGAAAAATGAAGATATAAGAGCTATATTCAGAGATGTTACATATGGTCACTTTAGTATATTTTACCAAATAAAATGGTTCTAGCTAGCCAATAAGCTGATAGATTTCCTTCTTGATTGCTAAGATAGACAAATTAATTCCACCCCTGCTGTTATTTGCACTGTCAGTTTGAACCAGTCCAGGTCCAGGAGTGTTTCATTTTCTCTAGGAGCACTTTGTTGATAAGTGTTGAATTATTTATTTTATAGTTTTTCTAGATTTTATGCTTTTTAGTAAACTCTTTACTCTGGATCTGTTGGTGTTGGCATCCACCATCAATATGTGTGTGCAAATTTAGAAGTTGATAAGGAAATCCAAGCTGTTTTGCTAACAGGTGGGCTGGCGGGAGTTAGACTAGACAGATAAGATGAGAGGAGTAGGCAAGGTGCCTGAAGGCAAGGTGACCCTTTACCTGTGATCTCAGGTTTTCAGAAGTGCTTCTGGAAGTTTCTGTAGAGCTGGAGGAAGAGTCCGAGTTCCATGTATCTATTTTGATGTTATGTGACAGTCACGACAAGAGAAACCTTCCTGGAAGAATAGTATTATGGTATAGATCTAAAATGTCCCCCAGAAACCACACGAGTTCAGAGTCACTAGAGGTAGACCTGCAAGCACAGAAAGATGTAGTGTGTTTCCTGGCTCCTCCCTTCTCTTTCTTCTTCCTGGCTTTCATGGAGTGAGAGCTTTCCTCCCTCAGGTCCTTCCACTATGCTGTTTCTGGCTTGGAGCCGACCAACCATATACTGAACCCACTGGAAACCATGAGTCAAATAAACCTCTCTCCCTTTGAGTTCTGGGTGTCAGATATTTTCCCAGTGATAGAAGAGTGACAAATATAAAGAGGTAACTAGATAGCAAACCCTAGGAATGTGCAAAAGTCAGACTTTATGGCTACATTGGGACCTCCACAAGGCATGAGATGAGAAACCCAGGCATCTGACTGAGGTCTTCAGTATTATGTGAGTTAGGTATTTGTGGGTGAAGGTTAATGTGAATAACCAAAGCAGATGAAAATGTATGCTATCACTGTTAAAACAACGCTTCACAGTAAGATTAATGTGCCTCCTCTTTCATTTTTTTCTCTCCCATTCTTTCAACCTTGAGAAGGAGTAAAGTAGTTGTTGCTAGAGCTATGTTAGGCAGAGTGTAGCATATTGGTAGATTCTGTTCTGTTATGATTGGATAGAATGTAGAAGGAGACTTTTGCATGGTTTGACTTCCTCTGCCCTTCTGTACTCCGCCCATGAAATTCAGATGAGTTTTCTGGTATGGTAAGGCAAGGGGTTCCCAAGCACTAGCTGTTGGTTCTGATTGATCTCAGCTCAATATCTCTTCTGTTTGGACTCCAACCAGCCATCTCCCTCATGAACTGCTACTTCTTGATAATGTCATTTTCAGCCATCAGGTCCCTAAATGCTTTTAAAAAGAGTCCTTTGTAAAATGTATTTTTCTTCAATAGAGGGAACATTTCCAGACCCCAATTTAATGGTGATCTTCATCTTCACTCATTTTCCCATTGGGAAATTCTCCTGATCCCAGAGCTGTTTGCCCAATTTTCGTTGCTCTTGGTCTGTTTATCTATAGAGTAACAGGGTCTTCAGACTTGGGACTATTTTTAAAGTTTGACTTTCATTGGTCTTTGTAAGTAATTCAAATGATCAGGAAGCCCTAGTATGGCTTTCACACCAGTCACCTACACCATGTGTACATGAGGAAAGCAAGAAAAGAAAGGGATGGATCTATGGGTTATTGGGTGGCTACCATATTCCAACCTGACTACAACCAGTTTAAAAATGGGGAAACTGAAGCATGGAGAAGTTAAGACCCCAGAGAATTATATGCTTATAAGTTTGAAAGAAGGAGTTGGGGAGAAGGGCACAGTACAGTGCTGTCCATGTTGGTAGCTGAGGCAAAAGGAGGCTGCTGCTTCTGCTGCCTTACGTTCTGTGGTTGTTGGACACTGCGACCAGCAAAATGGCCTCATGGAGATATTACCTGGCTTTTCAGTAAGGACCGCTGCATGAAGCAGCCACCTCCCCTAATCTCTACATCTCAGGCAAGTGCATCCAAGAACAGGCAGAAGCTAGCTCTCCTGCCACAACCCTGGTTGCTAAGAAGTCTGGGAAATGGGTATCTCAGCTTGCTTTTTCTGCAGAACAAAGAAGAAGGAGGGTTAAACACTGCACCCACCACACCCCCTGCCTACTGTGTGTCGTCTGCCTGCTGTGCTTAGCCTGCATCGGCTGTCTCTGAGTCGCTGTCAGATTCCTGCCCCATTCTTACTTAAGTTCCTACAAAGTGGCACTAGTAAGGTCTATTTTTTTCTCCAAAGTAATAGAATGTTCTCCAACAGAAAAACAGACATTTGGAAAGATGGGCTAACCTTACCTTGTTACCGGAGTAGCAGAACACAGATTTGAAATGTGATCATCCGTACATATTGTCAGTCATTTTTGCTGGTTTAAAACTCCTTTTAAAAATCCATGTTTTCCCCTTGGAGTAACGTGAGGGACACAGAGCTTGGAGGAAACTCCCTTCTAGGAGGAGAATAAGAAGGCGGAGTTCCCAATCCAGTCGAGGACATGTGGGATATGTTACAATACACGGCTGTCCTGGCCTCTCTGGGAAAAAAGCTGATTCTGCAACTGAGTGTGGCCTGAAAGAGCTTGCCCACATGGGAGAAAAACCTACTCCTAAGCACTGTTACCTTCACACAGCTTTGTGCTCAAGAGGCCCTAAGTACAGCATGTTAATTCAAACTTTTCAAAACCATGAAACCGCGGAATATCTCAATATCCTTATGTGGACTCTCATCTGCCTACTCTGTGTTAGCAGAGAAACATTTGGTTTGAAGCAAGACTTTATTTAAGGGGAAAAAGTGTATAGGATTACATTTGAAAATGTAATTATGGAAAAGATAAACCATATGTTGTAACCTTTGTTCTACCTCTACTTCATGGAGGCTTGCTCACAGCAGTTCATTTGGACGTGTATGGGAGTTCGGATCCTATGGCCAAGCCAAAGAATCAGAGCACGGCTCACTCGGTAGCCACCGGTATCCACATTACCAGGTAGTCAGTGCCAAAGTGTCTTAGAGTCCAGTGGTGTAGAAATGTGCAAAACATGTTAGCTCAGAGATGCTGAGCTGAGGGTCCACAACCTCCTCCTTAGGGCACCGACAAAGGTGGGCTGTCATAGGCTACAGAGACTGGGGCCAGGGTAGGGACAGGTAGAGTAGAAACAGTGTTCTGATGTTTCTCTGATTCGAAGTTGAGTAGGTGATGTTCCCAGTTACAGTACTGGGAGGGACAAAATGTGAGCAGCCACATTGGCCCCTCACAAATGTCATAGCCATGGTTATCAGTCAAAATCTTGTGCTAAATGCTGCTTCTGATTTCAGTAAGTAGGATTTATAACCTTCTCCCAAAGTGGGGAGTAGAAAAGCTAGCAATACTAACTTTTGCCTTTTGCAAATTTACCTGTTAATTTGTATATGCACGACTCATTAGTCTCTTTTCAGTAGAAAAAAAAGGTAAAGGTAATAACTCAAAAATATTTAAAGTTCTTTCTTTTTCTGGTACTGGCCATGGAACCCGGGACATCACATGTACTAGGCCAGGACTCTACCATCAAGCTACATATCTAGCCGTTTTCGAAATTTTGTTTTGAGATAGGGTCTCACTAAACTGGACAGGTTGGCCTCTACTGTGAGATCCTTCTGCCCCAGCCTCCCCAAAAGTTGTGGTTATAGGAATGCACCACTGGCCTGGCAGACATAGGCATTCTTAAACCTTTATGAGCAAACAAGCACAATGCACTCATTCTGTGAACTCGGTTGGTGCTTAGAAAAGGATACCCCAAAGAATGGCATCTGGCATGCTGAGTACTTTGAAATAATGAAGATTTGAAGTGCACAGAAGCAAAGTCTCTCTGTCTTCTATTGTCCTTTTTTCACCTTTCTGACTTCTCCAAAATGATCCACAGAAGCCAGAATTCTCCTTCCCCAAGGTGAGTCCCAGAAGCTTGAACCCTGGAAGTAAAATATTAGACTGAGAGAAGCCACTCTCTCTTCTCCTTTCCTCCTCAAATGTTCTTATCCCTGAAGGGCTCTGCCCCACATCTGGGAGGAGGAAATGCTGCACAGAGCCCAAGGAGAGGCTGAACAGACAGGTGTAACTGGGTGGCCCCTTATCTGTTGTTATTAAGCTGTATATTTTTTGTGCAATCATATTTCTACATGTGTCCATTCTTCTTTAAACTGAAAGGGTAAAAGACAGTTTTCTTTGAACCTCTTCATCTCCCATCTCATGTTGCTATGGGGAAAATAACTCCCAACCTGTTAGATGTCAGATGTAGAGTTCGTGGTCTCTCAACAGGAATGAAGTTGTGAACCAAAGAAGGAAGTTAAGAGAGTTTTCCTGTAAAAGAGGAGAAGAGGAAGAGTAGCTCCTGGGTTTCCAGGAGGGGTCCTAAGTGGGTGGCCATTGAGGCTCTTTTTCAAGAGTATTTATTTAGCAAATTCACAACCTGGGTCCAATGTGGGTCAAACTATAATCAACCTATAAGCTTACAAGTATAGTCACTTAGCTGATATTGATCCAGTAGGGAAATGAGTCATGTAGCAAGAGTGTATAGAAAAACAAAGGCATTCCTGGAAAGGGAGGGGTGTATGGATCCAGATGGTCCAGTCATCCACCTATGTGTCCAATGCCCACCTGGGCCCACTGGTCCAGGTGGTGCTGATAGCAGTGTGATGTCAAGCTGATGGTAAACTCTAGAGAGGCCTGTGGGCTTGGCTACTGCATCTGCATCCCGAGGCCTGGCCTTCCTCCATGGCCTCCAGCCAGTCTTTGTGTCTCATCTTCTGTGCTGACTGCCTCCAGGGCACAGTTCCCCTCTGACTGCATATTGATTTCCATCTAACTTATCTGCCTATAATAATAGATGAATCTATCGTGCTTCTCTCTCGTAAATTTGTCATTCCTTATAGGAGTGTTGGTTCTGACTCTCATGTGCAGGGAGAAAATGTGTCATGCCTTTCTGCCCTTACAGCTAGTGTGGTACCAGTTCTTTCTTCTTTTACTTCCTCTGAGTAATACCCACAAGAAAGGTTCATCTAAGAGAAAGGGAACAGCATTCTAGAGGGAAGCTTTAGCAGTAGCCAGGAATCTACCGAAAGCAACGGTTGGGTTATATGACTACTGTAAAGAAAACTTTTGAAACAGCCTGAAAAATTACTAGGGTTTTCAGTAGAAGAAAAAGCCTTGTTTAGGAGGTATATTTTCTGGTAATTTGATTTGATGGAGACATTTGTCTTTTATTATCTTTGAGCTGTTTTACAGTTCTGTAGATTTAAATTAACTTGTAGAACACTGATGGTAATACAAATGATTCTTATCTATACAATTGCAAATAAATTCTCTTTAGTGGAGTGCCCTTTCACTTTCTTTCCCTGAAGTGGAAGAAACCACTGTTGTACCTAATAAAGAAATTCATTACCACTAGGATTATCTATTTGATCTATGAGGTCTCTACTGAACAAACTTCTTTCCTGATTTTTTCATTAATTAAGGGATTAAATAAAATCTTTGATACGTGCTCCTTTTACATCATAGAGAATCATTATTTTACCTATTTAAGAAATATAGCTCATCATTATTCCTAAAGGCTAATTTGGACCTGGCTAGATTCTTATATGCTGTTCACCACAGTGAAAATTTAATAAAAAATACTTCATCCAATTTCCAGTCTTAGCTAACATAATCAAGAGATAAGATTCACATTAATAAAATTAGAGGCAAAAAAGGGGGTAGACAGTTTCCTATGAATGAATCTAATTTCTCATTCTTTATGGCTGAGTAGTATTCCATTTTATAGAAAAACCACATCTTCTTTATCCAGTTTCCAACTGATGGGCAAATGGGCTGTTTCCAAGTTTTAGCTATTACAAACTGTGCTGCTATAAACATAGGTGCACATATATCACTGTGATATGATTATTTTAATTCTTCTGGAAAGATACCCAGCTGAGGGATGCCTGGGTCAAATGGAACCTCTAGTCCCAGCCCTTTGAAGTGTCTCCATATTGATAAGATCCTAAAGAAATAATTGACAATGTGAAATAGGAAGAAAAGGGCTAAAGGTGTAGGGAAAGTGGGAAGGGTAGGGGAAAGGTAATAAGGGAAAAGAAAAAAAATATGAGAAAATGAAAAAATGGAAATAAAGTGTTTGTAAATAGGGAGGGGAGGAGAGGGTGAAGGGAGGGCAGGGATAAGGGGAATAAATGAGAACCAGGACCTGTCGTGTAAAGGTACAAGATCCCAATAATGAATGTAACTATACTGTATACCTAAAATGTACCAATAAACTCAATACAAAGGGTGGGTAGAGTATTACAATAGATACCACTGAAATCCAGATGATCATTAGGAACTATTTTGAAAATATTATTTCAGTAAATTGGAGAATCTAGTCAAAGTGGATGGACTTAGAGACACATCAGCTTACCAGAATCAAAACAAGAGGATATAAAACATACAAACAGATCAATAATAAGCAATGAGATTGAAGAACTAACAGAAGGTCTTCTAGCAAAGAAAAGCTCAGGACTCATTGGATTTTCTGCTGAATTTTATCAGATATTTAAAGAAGAACTAACACCAATGCCCCCTTCAAATTATTTCACAAAATACAAATAGAATGAATTCTTCCTTGTTCTATGAAGACAGCATCACCCTGACACTAAAATTGGATAAAGACACAACATAAAACTGCAGATAGATGTCCTTGATGAACACAGAGGCAAAAATTTTCAACATTTGCAAACTGAGTGCAACAATACATTAATAGCATATAACCATGATCAAGTTGGTTCATCCCAGAAATGTAAGGATGGTTCAACATATGCAAATCAATAAACACATATAGTCAAGAGCATAAAAATCACACAGTCATCTCAACAGATACAGAAAAAGCTTTCAACAAAATTAAACATCCGTTCTTGATAAAAGTCCTGAAGAAACTACATCTATAAAGGTCATATCTCAATATAATGAAGTATATATATGACAAACCTAGCGGCAAAATTATACCGAAAGGGAAGAATCTGAAAACATTCTTTCTATAACATCTGGAATGAGACAAGCTGTCTACTCTCATCATTCCTATTCAGTAGAATATTGAAATTTTAGCCAATACAAGTAAGCAGGAGAAAGAAATAGGATACAAATAGGAACGGAAGAAGTCAAATTATCTCTATTTGCAGATGATATGAATTCTATTCTTTACTTAGAAAAACTCAAATATTCCATTAGAAGACTTTTAGATCTGATAAACAAATTCAGCAAAGTGGCAGGATACAAAACCAATATACAATTATCAGTAGCTTTTCTATACAGGTGTAGCAAACTTGCTAAGAAAGAAATAAGGAAAACAACCTCATTCACAGCAGCTTCAAAAAATACTGAGGCAAGAGTCAGAAGTGGTGGCACATCCCTATGATTCCAGCACTCAGGAGGCTGAGGCAGGAGG